CATTGTTTGCATATAACACCCAGTGTTCCATTCCGTAAGTGCCCTCCTTAATACCCATCACTGGGCTAACCCATCCCCCCAACCCCTCCCCTGTAAAACCCTCAGTTTGTTTCCTGAGATTAAGAATTCCTCTCATATCAGTGAGATCATATGATACATGTCTTTCTCTGATTCACTTATTTCGCTTAGTATAATACCCTCTAGTTCCACCCACGTCATTGCAAATGACAAGATTTCATGTTTTTTTTTTTGATGGCTGCATAATATTCCATAATATTCCAATATTCCATACACACTATATATATATATATACATACACACACACACCACATCTTCTTTATCCTTTCATCTGTTGATGGACGTCTTGGCTCTTTCCATAGTTTGGCGATTGTGGACATTGTTGCTATAAACATTGGGGTGCACGTACCCTTCAGATCACTACATTTGTATCTTTGGGGTAAATACCCAGTAGTGCAATTGCTGGGTCATAGGGTAGCTCTATTTTCAACTTTTTGAGGAACCTCCATACTGTTTTTCAGAGTGGCTGCACCAGCTTGCATTCCCACCAACAGTGTAGGAGGGTTCCCCTTTCTCCGCATCCTCACCAACATCTGTCATTTCCTGACTTGTTAATTTTAGCCATTCTGACTAGTTTGAGGTGGTATCTCATTGAGGTTTTTGATTTGGATTTCCCTGATGCCGAGTGATGTTGAGCACTTTTTCATGTGTCTGTTGGCCATTTGGATGGCTTCTTTAGAAAAATGGCTGTTCATGAAAAGACAACACTCTAAACTATAGAGAACACACTGGTGGTTGCCAGAGGGGAGATGGATGGGAGATGGGTGAAATAGAGGAACGGGATTAAGAGTACACTTATCTTGATGAGCACTGAGTAATGTATAGAATTATTGAATCACTATATTGTACACCTGAAATTAATGTAACACTGTAAGTTAACTATACTGGAATTAAAATTTTTTAAAATTAAAAATAGAATTGTGTGATCCAGCAACTCTGGATATATACACAAAAGAATTATAAGCAGGTTTGAAGACATATTTGTATACTCATGTTTATAGCAGCATTATTCACAATAGGCAAATGGTGGGAGTAACCCAAGTGTCTACTGATGGATGAATGGATAAATAAAATATGGTGTATATGTACAATGGGTGTCATTCAACCTTTTAAGTGGAACGAAATTCTGACACATGCTACAGCATTGTGAACAACATAAATGTGCTTAATATTACTGAAATGTGTGCTTAGAAATCATTAAGAAGGAAAATTTTATGTCAGGTTTGTTTTACTACAAAAATAAAAAGCAGGAATGACTATATTAATATCAGATAAAGTAGATGTCATAGCAAAGAAAATTACTAAAGGCAGAGAGTCATTACATGATTATAAAATTATCAGAGATATATCTATTCTCAATGTGTGTCAACCAAACAACAGAGTTTCCAAATAAAGCAAAAACTGATAATTGAAAGGAGACCTAGACTAAGCCATAGTTAGCATTGGACTTCACACACCCAACACTCAGTAACTGATAGAACTACTAGACAAAAATCAACAAGAATAGAATAACTGAACAAAACAATGACCAAAAGAATATTATTTATGTAAACATAGAACATTCCACTCAATAGCACAATACACAATTGTTTCATGTGCCTACAGAACATATACCGAGATAGACTATATGCAAGATTGGCAAAGATAAAATTAGAGAAGACCAGGACCAATATCACTACAAATCCTACAGTTATTAAATAATAAGGGAATACTGTTAATAACTGAATGTTCATAAATTTGAAAACTTAGAAGAAATGGATCAATTCCTTGAAAGACCACAAATTACCACAACCCCCCCCAACAAAGTTATATAGGCAGTATAATTAATCTTATATCTTGTAAAGAGATTGAATTTTAGTTTAAGAAAGTCCTAAAGAAAAAGTGTTCAGGCCCATGTGATTTTTCCTGGAAAAGTCTACCAAACATTTGAAGAGCCGATTTATAATTTCTACCACAAAATCCAAGAGGATGGGGCATTTTATATCTCATTTTATGAAGCCAGTATTGCCTGATAACAAAACCACAGAGTGCAAAAATAAAATGGAAAGAATCATCCTACTTGGTATTAAGGCTTACTATGTAGCCACCATAATGAATACAGTATAGTGTTTGGTGAGAGATGGACACAGATCAATGCAACAGAATAAAGAACCCAGAAATAGACCCAAACAAATATGCCCAACTATTTTTGATTAAGGTACAAAAGCACTTCAGTGGAGGAAGAATAACTATTGGCCGTTTTAACAAATGGTCCTGGAGTAATTAGACCTCCATAGTAAAACAACTAAACCTTGACCTAAATTACATACCTTATACAAAAATGAATTTAAAATGGATCACAGGTCGAAATGTAAAATTATAATATTTTAGAGGAGATGTTCAGCACTGAAGGCCAGGTAAAAAGTTCTTAGACCTGACACCAAAAGCATGATACATAAAATGGTCCTCATCAAAATTAAAAACTTCTGCTCTCTGAATGATCCTATAAGGATGATGAAAGGCAAGCTACAGACTGAGAAAAATGTAAATCACATATCTGATAAAGGACTTGTGTCTAAAATATATAAAGAACCCTTGACATTCAACAGAATAAAAAAAACTCAGGAAAAGGAGCTACAGGTGTAGCTCTGATCAACAGGTAGGATGGACCTGTATGATTCCTTTATTTCTGGGGTTGTCCTATCATTGTTGAAAATGACATAGTGAGATACTAAACTGAGGAACTCCTAAAAAAGAGTACAAGAACTAGAGAAGGAGATGCAATGACTTAAATAGGAGAGGGCCAACAATAACAAGAACTCAAACGTTAGAGAAAATTCTTCAGGAGTCGCAAAAACTAAGTGTGCATTTGATTTCAGTGCTAATGTCCAAAGCCATGTAGCCCTAAGGATAGCCTATCTGGGCTAGAGATACTAGGGCTTTGCCAGTCAGGAAAACACAATATTATTGAAGAAAACTGAGGCTCTAAGACTTGACCATGAGAAAGCAGACAGACATTCAACTCTCACTGGTGTGGGTCAACGGACAAGGATGTTAAGTGCCTTTGGACTATTGATTTCTCTTGACCTTTGTTCTCACTTTCCAAGGGGCAAGGATTCAGAGGATTTTAATTTAAAAGAAGTCCACACTGGAAAACAGTATGGAGGTTCCTCAAAAAGTTGAAAATAGAGCTACCCTACAACCCAGTAATTGCACTACTGGGTATTTACCCCAAAGATAAAAATGTAGGGATCCGAAGGGGTACGTGCACCCCAATGTTTATAGCAGCAATGTCC